AAACCTCCCCACGTAGATCCTCAGCTCCTCTTCTTTTACGTGGGTTGTGCTTCCCCACCAGCTCCACCAGTTTGTCGGCATTCCTGCCGGTGGCACGCCTTTCGTTGTGGCGCTGCAGGCAGCACTTGTAGTCGGCGGCTTCCTCATCCGGCAGTGGTTCGCCCGTCGTCCAGCCCACATATTGTTGGGAACGCCAGAGGTAGTGGATGTCTCTCCCGATCCACCGGTCGAGCGGTCCTGGTTCATACAACAACGCCAGGCCGCCTTCTGTTTCGAAGCGGACGAAACGTGCCCATGGCTTCCCACCTCCCCCGCCTTCAGCGTCCTCTGGGCTGCGGGTCTGCACCAGTACTTTCTGCGCAGCTCCCCCGCATCGGAGGTCACATGCCCTCCCCGTGCTGGTGAAGGTGCCGTTGGCGACCATGGTCTTGTAGCATCCTTCCCCCGGCTCATGAGCTTTGTGGCAGAAGGGGCCTTGCAAACACGCCTTGCAACTCACCCCATCTCCTTGAGCACTTCTGCCAACTTACATTGCTCTTCCCAGGTGGTGTTGACCTTTGCGGGCTTTACAGATGGAGACCTCAAGCGCTGTCTCCCCCTTTGCCCGTCTTCCCCCCCCCGTCGTGGGGTTCTTTGAAGAGCTTGCCATCGAAGTAGACGTGGTACCGGTACTTTGCGAGATCACCGTGTGGTCCACAGGCAAAAAGTATGCCCTTTCCCCCTACTAGCGGGCCACCTTCCGAAGAAGGGCCGCGGTCGGGTTCCAGGTTGAGCGAGCCTACAAGGGGCCTCTTAAACAAAGTGGCAACGGGTATGCAGACTCAAGCAATGCTGGGGAAGACAGGAAGGCTCTCCCGGACAACCCCCTGCCTCCCCCCCGGCAAAGGGGCGTCACAGACCCCAAAGCACAGGTGCATTACTTGAGCCAAAATGGCTATGTCTGTGTCTGTCTGTCTCTGTCTGTCTCTGTCTGTCTCTGTCTGTCTGTGTCTGTCTGTGCCTGTCTCTGTCTGTCTGTCGGTTTGTCTGTGTCTGTCTCTGTGTCTGTCTGTCTGTCTGTCTGTCTGTCTGTCTGTCTGTCTGTCTGTCTGTCGGTCGGTCTGTCTGTCTGTCTGTCTGTCTGTCTGTCTGTCTGTCTGTCTGTCTGTCTGTCTCCATGTGCACGTGGGCGGGTGGGGGGGGGGGGGGTGAAACTGCGTTGGAATATGCAGCTGTCGATGTGCGTGTCGAAAACACTTCGGAGAAATAACCATCCAAGGTCTAGATATGTCTACTAGACCTAGTAGATCGTGAGCGACATGCTGGACTGCACCTCGGAAGCGTTTGCCGTTTGCATTTCTGATCGGCTCCACAAAGAAATCCACTCGCCTGGCCCGCAAAAATAACTCCAGAAGTTCAGAGAAAAGACTTCGGACAACAGATACACAAATCAGAATCAATCTAAAACCCGAAGCTGCAAAAATGCGCCTTCGTTTTCTCGGTCGCATCATGTGGTTGCATCCTTCTTTCTCTTTTTGGCACCTGTATCCTTGGCATGCTCGCTTTGCTGATCCTTATCCTTCGGGGTCTCACCATCTTGTTTCGTCTTCTCCTTCTCGCGCTGCTCTGTCTTCCCCTTGATTTGCTTTGGTTCCTTCTTGTCCGATGTATCCTGTTTTTTCTCTTTTGTCTCTTCCTTCTTCTTCTTTTCCTTCGTCGCCTCCTTTTTCTTGTCCTTCTCCTTTGTCTCCTCATTGACGTTTTCCTTCTCCTTTGTCTCATCTTTTCTTTTCTGCTTGTCCTTCGCATCCTCCTTGGCCTTCTTCTCCTTGTCTTTCGTCTCCGCTTTCTTCGCCTCGCTGCCCCCCGTCTCTGGCGTGTCATCCTTCTTTTTCTTCTCCTTGTCTTTCGTCTCCGCTTTCTTCGCCTCTCTGCCCCCCGTCTCGTCCTCCTTCTTTTTCTTCTCCTTGTCTTTCGTCTCCGCTTTCTTCGCCTCACGGCCCCCCGTCTCTGGCGTGTCCTCCTTCTTTTTCTTCTCCTTGTCTTTCGTCTCCGCTTTCTTCGCCTCTTTGCCCCCCGTTTCTGCCGTGTCCTCCTTCTTCTTCTCCTTGTCTTTCTGCTTGCCCTTATCTTTGGCACCTTCTGCGTAACAGTCCTTGTCCTTCGTCTTATCCACGTCCGGTTTCTTGTCCTTGCTCTTTGAGTTAAGCTTGGCCGTCTCTTTCGCTGCTGCTGTTTGTACGCCCTCTGACTGCTGCTGGCCTTCTTGCTGCACGTCATCTGTCCTCATCTTGTCATGCCCGGAGTCTCCTTTCGTCTGGATCCTGGCTTTTTGTTCCTCGGCGATGCTTCCATCAATCTCGCCTGTCCTTCCCTCGGCCAAATCCTAAGTCAGAGGCAGAGAGGTCGAGCATGGTGCACTACCTAACAAACAGAATAACAGAAGCATCGGCAGCGTCCGTCCTGCTCTTGATCTCCTTTTGCTCCTCCGTCGTCGGCAAGTTTCAGCTTCTCTTCTGGGTGTGGGTCGGCCGCAACCGGGTCTCGAGCCACCCCCGATCCTTCGAAAACAGACTGGCTTGTGTGTAGCGGGACGTCCTGCGGCGCATGCTGTGACTGCTCGCAAAGCAGCTCAAGTTCCTTGTGCTCTTCTTCAAGTTCCTTCTGAAGTTTGAGCTCATGCTGCCGCTGCTTCTCTTGTCTTTCCTGTTCCTCTAAAAGTTGCCGCTGGATGTCTTGCTGGAGCTGGCACATGGGGGAAGCGGACGAAGCCTCAACACCTCCGTCACCTCGAACCTGCAGACTCCAACGAATCAACTGTGAACATGATCAGCTTGCACCCCGCATGCCTAACTGATATTCTGGCGCCTTGTGACTTGTGCCTTCCTGCACCTGCTTTGCTGGGCTTCCGTCGCTCTTCTCCTTCTCGTGACGTTTTCGATCTCTGTCTCGAGATCGAGAACGTGATGGTCTGCGTCGATCCCGACGATTCCGGTCTCTGCGATCCCGGCTGCGGCTGCGGTCTTTGCGACTGCGGCCTCGCCGTCTACTCCTGCGAGAGACATTTTCTTTGTCGTCGACCTAGCACCACGTGGCAGGACCTGTCCTGGACTTCCTCTTCCGCGAGCGCCTTGACGGATCTTAACGGACTTCGTAGGTGTCCAGGGCAAGGAAAGTTGCCATCGCCTGCTGCGCCTGGAGCTGGAGCTGGAGCTGGAGCTCACCACCTTTCGCCGCCTGGAGCAATGGATGTCATTCAAGATGCGAAACAGACAAGTCGCACAATTTCGGCCTCAACAGACTAGCAGCTCTTTGGGTGGTCGGGCCAGTTGCAGTGCTGGAGAATCCCATCGGAGCTGATGAGAATCCACCAGCTGTGCTTTGTGCAGGCACTGAAAACCCAGCTGCAAAGGCCTCGGCTGCAAGTGATATCAGGCGTCGCACAGAGATCATGGGATTTACTGTATGCTGATTGAGCTCTCGGCAGCTGCAGCACCTGTCCAGACATGGCTTCAGTGAAGCCAACTGCTGCAGCAAATTGGAACAATCTCGCTGGCAGGTAATAACATCAACTTCCATTGGTTGCTGGCGTCGGCTAGCTCAAGTCACAAGGCCAAATTTGCCTCTGGCATGCCTTCTGGGTAACTTGCTTGCTCGCAGTTACCCTCACCAATGATACCCCGAGCACTATTCAGCATACGCAAAACTGGCCGTGCTGGGCTAACTCACCCTTGGCCGTTTGCCGATTACGTGGGCACATACAGCATCAACAGCAGTAGAAGCAACACCAGCAGCATGATCGCGTTAGCGAGGATATCGAGTATCATTCGTTCCGATGCCCGAATCCAGTGCTGATCCGATCTCATATTATCACGGCAGCACAGAAATCGTGATGGGGTTTGCAGTCCACGTTTCCCTCCGTGCGTGTGACGAGTTTCAGTATCCCAGCATGTTGTTTCTCAAGTGTTGAACGTGGTCAGGGCTCGCGTGCATCTGTACAAGTGCGACTGTGAAAGAGCACACCCCCCGAAATGTTGAACGTTCATGTGGCCACGTATAGCCTCGATACCCTTCTCATGACATGGAACAGCGACACAGTGGGAGTCGCTGCCCTGCTGTTTTGTTGGTGGCTTCCTGCTGCTGCAATGAGGACACATCCGTGATCATCTGTGCCTATCTCTGTCATCAAACCGGCGGGCCACAGAGAGCTGCACTATTCTACAGCCATCTGCGACCAACCTGCTCCAGTCTTCTCCGCCAAGGCCTGAGCTACAACAATCTCGCGCGCACACACATACACACGCACTCACACACAGATGCAAATAAAGCAGTAGATAAAGACAAATGCAGACCGAGAGACAGAGAGAGAGAGAGAGACAGAGAGAGAGAGAGAGAGAGAGAGAGAGAGCGAGAGAGAGACAGACAGAGACCGACAGACACGCAGACAGAGAGACTGATAGGCAGACAGAGAGACAAACAGACAGACAGACAGACACTGGACAGACAGACAGACAGCTAGGCAGGAAGGCAGGCAGGCCGGCAGACGGACAAAGACACAGATACATATATACGTATACATATGTACACATATACATATAAACACAAAACTGCAAATATGTATGCACATACGCATATATGCAAATACAAATGTACGCATATATACATGTATACATCCAATCTACACACATCTACACATATATACATGTATACATATATGCATCTACACATCTACACTTCTGTACCTATAAACCCATACATATATATAAACACATATATACATGTATACATGTATACATCTTCTTCCAGACGCAGCGAGGAGAGTTCGCCTAGCGAGTCCGTAGCAAAGCCACTGTGGGCTTCGGCACCTCAGATGGGTGCTAGACTACTGCACTAGCATCAGGCCATACTAGCCGTCAATGCAACTCCATCATCCATCAGATGTCGAGGATACAGGACCTGAGTGCTCCGCCGGGGATCGGATGGCCCAAACAAGGTATGCGTTGTGTGCTAAGGCAGTGAAGTCCGCAGCATTGCATACTCTGGCAGGCGTGCTGTCCTCTGTAATCCACGATTGCTGTATGGCGGAATCATCTTGAGCGTGCCACTGATCAATGAAGTTTTGCAGAGTTGCATCCCCTGTCAAGGGAAGGAGCACAGGAGAAAATGCTGGACCAGAGTCCACAACCTGACAGTGATCACCAAAGGTCTGCCTGGCTTGCCACATGCCCACGAAAAGAGGCGACCGGATCCTAGGCGCAATATGCTGAACAAACTCGCCAACATCATGCTGTTGAAAGGGGGTGGCCCATGGACTGATAAACATTACCCAGGTAAGCAGTTTACTGATGTCCAATGGAGTGGCACGCTCACGCAGTGCCTGGTAGACATGTCGAAGCTGGCCCAGGTCAGCCTCATGAGTGGATCCCGTGCTAAGTATCACGACCAGTAGTGCATTCAGAGCACTGTTCATGTAGCAGGTCTTACAGGGTGGGATTGGCAAGGCTGATCGCAAGAAGATCAAGCTGATAAAGCACGGACACTGAGGAAATATGAGGCTCCGACCCTCCCACAGGAAGTGCTGCAAGGATTGGGCAAGACTCGAGTCGACCGGACGGTCCCGGCGGAGTCTGGCACCGAGAAGGTGCAGAACGGCACAATTGATCAGGGAGTTGAACAGCCGCCATAGCATGTCTCCATCCTGCCTCAACTCGACCTCCAGAACAAACTGAACCCACTGAGTCTTGTAGTTCTGACTCAATGGTCGTACACTCCCGAAGTGACGAATCGTAGTGCATCAGCTTCTCGATCTCCCCCAGGTCCTGTAGCAGCGAGTCCACCGAGCGACTCTCGACTCGGGGGATCAAGACCTCTTTCTGTGTCTCCGGATCCCACCTCATGTAATTAGTTCCAGTTGCCCTGGGAATCCACCCATTCCATTTCGTTGGCCTTTTTCTGCATCTCCGTCATGGCAGCTGCTGTAAAGCCCTTGATTCGGCCCTTGAGCTCTTGGATCAGCTCGCGCAACATGGTCTCGCGCAGAGATGACTGCACCTTGTTCTGATCCATCAGCTCGTGCCATCTCTTCGCAACCTGAGTCATGAACGGCAGCACGGATCCCGGTGGATCGGGACGGAAGAAAAAGTGGAGCTTCATGTCTTGTTGCACCGCCTGCAACTGCTTCTCGTGCCGAAGGAGAAGCCTCGCCATCTGGCCCAAGGTGGGAGGCTGCATGGATGACGACCCTCCCGAGGGTGCATGGCTCCACGCCTGGGCATCCCAGTCCGTCAGCGCTCCGTTGCCGCTGCCCGATGTATTCCACCAGGCTGATTTGTTTTGGCTCTGGCCCTGGCCCGGACCCCTGCTCTTGTTCCTTCCTTTTCCCTTGCCCTTTCCTTTTCCCTTGGCCTTGCCTTTGCCCTTGTCTCCCGAAGTCGGCTCGGCATTCAGCCCCACCTGGGGCATGGCTGTGTTTTCCGGATCCTGTCGCTGTCTCTTGGTAGACGGAGGCGGATTGTTCGACGTCTCCGCTGCCGGTGGGTGGCAACAAGACACAAGGTGCTGAAACATGGCCGTCTCCTGGTCGCGGGCACTCTGGGAGAGTGGTCCCTGCATGGAAGCAGGGCTTGCTGGTGCATGGGTCATGGCATGCATGTCCTTATCGAGAGTAGACTTCGATGAAGCAACAGAGTGTGATGACATGACATCGCTTCCAATGTGTTTGCTTGTCGAAGATAGATTCAAGACAGTATGGGCAAGGCTTCACCACAGCACGTTTCATGAGCACGGCAAGCTCCAGCACATATGGCCACAAGGTGTTCCAACATTCATGTGCATTAGCAAGGTGCACCTTCAAATTTGCACTAGTTGTGCACCACTGTCCACAACAGGGACAATGGTGTCTGAGTTCATCACGAAGGCCCGGCAACTTAATGAGGCCCTGCCATCCGTTATCTCGAGCATGTTGTAGGACCTCAGCACGTTGGAGGATGGGAGTGGAGCACATCTGACCAACCTGGCTTTTGGAACCAAAACCCGGCTTATGAAGTTGAAGGGCAGCAGCCTGTGATGAAGCAGACGAGTGGGTCCGCTCCACAACCAACGACCGGGGAGGACTGGCCTGAGTAGTAACTGATTGGGAGCCAACCTCCACAAGTGCCACAGCAGGCACAGATGAAGACGGGGCGGAGCCACGCATACTCAGAGAAGACAGATCAAGAGGGGTGGATGGCACAGAGGAGGAGGTAGGCAGATCAGGAGGGGGGACAAATGCAGGAGCCGAGGCACGAAGGGCAGAGTCAAGAGCAACACATCTCCCCTTCTGGATGTGGTCATGTAGCACAGACCACCGAGAGAAGACCTTCTCACATAAGGCACAAATCGGCACACCAGCTACAGAGTGAATCGGCGCACCAAGCGCACGCTTGGCAACAGTGTTGCGATGGTGCGCAGCTTGGTGAACACGAAGGGTGCGCAAGTCCGCAAATACAGCAGCACACTCTGGGCATGTGAAAGCAGGCGCACCAGAACTGGCGGAAACTGGCACGTCCGGGGTGCATGTCTCCCTAGCAGTGGGGCCACGACAATCATCAGTGTTGCCAGATTGCCAGGATCAACAAGCATGAGAAGATCGCGTGCCAACAAATCACACCCCTCAACCATGGGCGTGGACTCCAACCCCACTTCCATCGCCACCACAGTGCGCTCACGAAGGCCCCCCAGTGCACGCAAAAGGGAGTCACACACAGTAGGCACTCCTAATCGAGTATGAAGGGCCGGAGTGCTCTCAAAAGTAAGATGCGACTGAGAGCGCGACACCGCCCGCAGTTGCTTGGTGTAAACCGCCTGCAACTTGCCCAATTGTTTGGCATTGAGAGGAAGAATATGCAAACCATACAGGAGCGTAGGCGGCAGACACGCCCTCCAGAGACGCAGCCTCAGGTCTAATGCCGGAGCAGAGGCAGAGGTAAGAAGTGGTCGCAGCTTCGTCCAGGCACTCCAGGCGGCAGCAATACGATGCTCAACCGATAAGGACACGGCCTGGTAGTATGAAATGGTGAGTCCCAAGTAGACATGTTCCTCCTTGAGAGGGATATCAAATGTCCGTCCAGCAGGCGTGCAGAAGTGCACCACACGTCCCTCGGGGCCTTTCCGAATATGACTCTTGACCCAAGAGGGCGCAAAGCCTCTTGTGAGGCGAAGCAGGAAGGCTGACTTCTTTTCATTGACCAAAAGATGGGACTCAATGAGTTGATTAAGGAAGCAACCAAAACGCCGAGGTGCCCGATCAAGATCCGTGACCTTACGAAGATGCGCCCCCAAATGGAAATCGTCTGCAAAAGCAGTCAAATGTCTGGGTGTCCAGCTGGAGTCAATGGCCTGATCGGTTCTGCGCATTACAACAGCAGTCGCTAAAGCCCACAGGAATGGGGCTGGGCTATGCGGCACCCCTGCCTGACACCGCGCTGCACATCTACCTGTGCAACCGCGCTGGAAACACGAAGATGATAATGCAGATCACGATCAGCTCATAAAGCTCAGATGGGACCGAAGCCTGCTGAAGAGCCTCTCGGATATAAGCGGCCATTCCAACCAGTCAAAGGCCTGCGAGAGGTCCAATGACAGTTGTATGGAGCCACCAACACGACGCTTGGAGGGAACACTGAAAGCGGCGGCAGTCTGCTGCGAGGCAACAGCACAGCGTTGCTTGTAGACGTCATACTTTGGTGGCTCACAGTACGCCTGGCCATCGAGGCAGTGTCCCAGCACACGAAGAGCTGGTCGGTTGAGCGATCAGCCAAATAAGCAAACTGAGGATGAAGATTCAAGAACTCAGTAACGAAGGGCTTGAGTTTGGCCTGAATGAGGCCACAGACAGCTCGACGTGGCCGCAAATGCCGCGGCAGGGTAGGAGTTGCAATTTTCGGGAGCAGGGACATCCAAGTATCCTTCCAATCTTGCGGAATAGCGGTGGCCGTGCTGAGAAGCGTACGCAGCCACGGAGAGACCGTGGTGGATCAGGCTACCCAAACCGATGCATGCGCCATATGTTTGGGCGCAGCCTTGTGGGGAGAGAGAGATGCCAGAGGGCACCTTCAACGGAGTCAAGATCGAGCCGAGCAAGAGGCAGAGTAGCCTTGCGGCTCTGCCCAGCATCGGTGACCTGGATCAAGGAAGTAGATGAGGGCTCGTGCTCAGTGGCATAAAGGGCATTATAGTATTGCTGCAGGGCACGTACTTGCTCACCATGAGGATCTCATTTTCAGGACCCCGAAGTTGCAATACACGCCGCTTCTGTTTGGGGCAGAGACGAGACACAAGCTGGAAGAGAGCTCGAGTATCACCTTTGCGGGCAGCAGTCTCCATAATGTCAACCTGTGCACGAAACCACTCAGCTTTGGACCTCCGATTCCCAGATACATCGCCTGGAAGCACCGGACGTGCCTCGCCATTGACGGTAGGCAGACCACATGGCCTTCACGGAAGTCGCAACGGTATGTGAATGCCAGGGGACAATCCGACCATTCTGCGGCAGCGGCACGCATTGCAGAATTCAGCTCCCCCACTGACGCACGAGGCTGTGAGAGCAGGAACTCATGGATTCTGGCATTGAGATCTATAATGCGTGAGTCAGACTCAGAACGACAAACCTGCGCAAGCGTGCTTGTGTCCAATATCGGAGTAGAGGCGCGTGCTGGACGTGCCAGGGCACATACAGGTGGAAGCTTAATGGACGCTAACACGGGTCGATGGAAGCCCCGGGCCCAGGGCACGGGACCAGCCTTTCTGGCAACAGGGTCACCAAGGCCGTGACGTATGAAGATGTGATCAATGAGGGAAGAGTGATCACCACACACATAGGTAGGCTTAGCAGATCTGGATGAGGAGTTTAGGTGAAGCAAATCACAATCCACACATAGGTCTTTGAGAGTACCTGCATCAGCAGGAGAGGCGGTGGGAAACAACCGCACACGATTGCCCACCAGTCGAGGAATCGTCTCAATGGGTGAGTTGAAGTCACCACCCATGACAAGCACATTGCGAGCCGGCAGGGATTTAATCAAACCTTGAGTCGTGGACCAAACCTCTCTGCCTTTTTCTGTGCACATTGGCTGCAGCACATCTCCTGCTTTCCTAGGTCTTTGGTCATTTGGCTCCAATGCCTGGGTCCCAGATGCCACTTCAGACACGCTACCTGGAGTTGCGTTAGGTAATCCTGCCACTCCATTACATTCGCATAGTTTTACATTTGTCGCTGGACCCGGTCCCAGATCCGGGCGAGAAGTCACGACTGGCTTTGCCCAATTGCCTTGGCACATTACTTTCATTCCCGTTGCCATCTTTGGACAGCTTTGTGATGACTTCTTTGAGCCGAGGGTTGGGCGCTCCAACCGCCCTGAATCCACTTGTCAAGAGCACGCTTGGCACTCTAGAGTGAAGCTCCGTCATAGACTCGTGGAGAAGCTCGGACGAATTACACAAAGTGCTGCCTCTTAGGGCCACTCTTGCACAAACTCCATCCCACCAAAGATCTCCGCTACCAATCCACTGGTGCGCCACCTGCGAGTGGTTGGCTACCTGTTCGTCGATGGTGAGTGATGATGCAACTCGGACCTATTCTCAGCCAGTTTCCTCACTGATGCTTCCTGTACCTGACCATGCTGTTTGCTCGGATGTTTCCCCTGCGACTCCCTTCAGGGAACGCCGCACCGTCCGTCCTCTTGTGGGTGGCTTTGTTGCTCGCTGTTTTCGGTGGCTGGTTGTCGCTCAACTCCCAGCAATGAGCAATGGCCACAACCTCGCCCAGAAGCGAGCATACAATAGTGCATGTAGACGTGCGGCTGCCAGTCCGTTTCAGGGCACACATTACCGTGGTAAATGGTGTTCTTTGCACACTCTCAACGCCCGCAAGCAGGTCAAACCAGTAGTGCTTGCCAACAGCGCTCAGGTGCAGCCGTCCAAGACTGAAGTTCCCAGATTGAGGGTCGTCACCTACGATGTGGGGGGCTTGTCTTCTGTGGCGTACAGCGAACTCTTACAACATCTTGCCACCGTTGCTCCTGAGTGTCGACCTGATGTGCTCCTTCTTCAGGAGACGCACTGGCAGGAGAACCTTCGCTTCGACACACCCGGATGGTATGTCGTCACGTCCTGCACTCCCTCTCCCCAGGCTGGTGGTGTTGCTGTCTTGATTTCTGATGAGCTGTGTTCTTCGGACTCTGTCCTACTTACTGCTCTCATTCCTGGGCGCGTCATGCATGTGAGGCTGCTACTGACTGGCTGTACCCTTGACCTTGTCAATGTGGCCATGACACAGGCATGCTGCAAGTGCCTTGGAGAGCTCGACCGAGAACTGCTTCAAGGGGTCGCAGGCGTCCTCCCTGTATGCTCCAAGACTTCCCGGAGGAACAGACCATGGTTCTATCACTGGGGTGAGTTGCTGGGCCGAAGAGGCAGCCTGCTGAGATTGGGAGGAGCTACTGGCCACAGGTGGAGTGACTCCACCCTGCAAGGCAAGGGAAGTTTCTCCTCCTTCCGTGCTCACCTTGCCTTGCCGGGGGAGTTGCTCCACCCGAGGAACCTGCAGCTGGAGAGGATTGCTCCACAGGCTTTCGAGGCTTGCATTCCGATCCTAACACAGCAAAAGCCTCCTGAGAGTGGGAAAATGGCACTTCGAAAGTCCCTGCCCCTTCTCTGAGGTAGTCGCCGAAGTTCAACTCATCTTTGGTCGCGATTTGGAGCAGGATGGCGCGAATCTGCACGGAGTTGTAGTGGTAGATCTGAAGCACCTGGACGCGATCCAGGGTATATCAGAATGGGAGCAGCTGCGACATCGTCGTCGCAGGGCGATCTTGGAACACTCTCTCGAGTACCTGACGCTGGCAAGGCTCACTACAGGCAGCTTGCTTTCGTGTCGGAGGTCGAAACGCTCCGCTCCACCTTCTTCGCTGAGGATCACCAGTTGAACTTAGCCAGGGCGCAGTGGGACCTGGCGTTTGACCTCCTTCGGGCCACGGACTGAGCCGACAGAGGCTAGGGCGGAGACTCTCCTCCAAGAGCAGGAGGAGACTCTGCCGTAATGTTCTCAGACGAGGAGTTTCTCCCCGATGGGTGGAGATTCTCCCCTACAGGAGGAGTCTCTGCCCTGGGGTTTTTAAAGCCAATATCAGAGGACGGCAGCGACTTGCCAGAACAAACCAATTTGCAGTGAGTGTATACTCTTGCCTTGGCAACCACTGTACATTCTTGCGCATACCAGCTGGAGACAGTCCGCGAGGCTCTTGCATCCAACACAGCTGCAACAACCGTTCGGCGAGCACGGCCCCAGCCCCGGGACATGCAAGCTGTCGACTGTTTTCAAATTGACAGCAAGTGTTACCAGAGTCCAGCTCTCTCTGCAGTTGAATCACTGCCCTCAGCTTCTCTTCAAGTGCAATCATAGCCGAGCAGAACATGGCTCAGAGGTCGTCGCAGGATCAGGCCTTTCGAGAAGAGTACGAGGCCTTTTGTCGCAACCGTGCTCGCGACCAGCTCCCAATTGTCTCGTACAGAAACTTTCTTAGACAATGGAGACATTCGGCGAGAGCTCACGGTGAGGATTACCCAACTCACTCACGGTCCCCGTGACCAAACAATTGAAAGATGGATGGACTTTCCCTGGTTCCCAAGCCTACAGCAGCAGGTGAGAAGGAGAAGGCGTACCACGGGTCGCACTTGGAATGCCTATATGGTATCATCGCGACTGGAAGGTTGAGCTGGAGGGAACTCGCCACTTCGATGAGCGACCGGGCGTCTACCTGCATAGGGAGGTCAATCGCCATCTAGCCGAAGGCTACTCGTCAATGATTCGATTTGGCTCGAAGCACATCTTCGCTCGGACTATGATTGAAGCGGAGGTGGAGCACAGTGGGTCACAGAAGAAAGTAAAAAGACCAACCAGTTGACCTTCTCCGCGGGGAGTAGCTGCTAGCTCCACCGCGAGGTTCATCACCTGGTCTTTGGTGATGAGCGCCAGCTGCCTGACGCGGTTCGCCAGGTCCTGCATAATGCCGCCGGGGAGTAGCCATACCGAGCGACTTCTGGTGCTCATACAGCACAGCCGCGGCAGCAAGAGCTGTGCCAGGAGAGTGATGCTCCGATCTTCTTCCGCTTGGGCTGCTGATGTCTGCCAGCATTGGAGCCGGCACACAGTGTGTTGAAATGGACTCGCCGTCCTCTAACCATGTGTGCCTGGTCTCGCTCTGGGAGGCCCGGTTGATGGCGCTACACAGGGCTCGCTTCCTCGGGGCCCGGGTGCGAAAATTATCGAAAGAGCACTTGTGGTGAAAGTCACCTCGCTTCGCCTCGTTGGTGAGAGGGGTTCCGCGTGATGGTGCTCCGGGACTCCCGTGTGTGGG